AGATTAGCGGCTAATTAGCTCCTAAAATGCCACTGTCAACAACTTAATAAGAATTAAGCCTTGCTCGGTTAGGACTCCAATTTGTTGGTCAAAACATGATCAAACTTGACCCAACTTTTTACATGCTCTTCTCTAATGAAATATCTCCAACTTCTATTTTTGGGTCAAAGCATGATGCTTAATAAAAACTCAAGAACGCGGTATGCCAACCTAATGACAATGAATTCCAGACTTGGAATAATTCTAAGTGCTGAAAACAACAACAAATTCGATCTTGTGACCTCGATTTGACTTACTTCCAAGCTGATCTAGCTCTTAGTCCAAAAACAAAGTTTGTTCTACATGATATGGACTACAACTTTCATTTAAGGTCCAACCTCAAAACTGGTATAGAACCTACTGTTCTACTTTGACCAAAGTAGGATCATGATGAAGCTTAAATTATCCTTTTTGATCCATTGGAGCATTTTCTTGGCATTTGCCCAACATGAACCTTTCATGACTTTTGTTGTAGAGTTCATCTAGAGTCATTTTGGTAAGGTTGCAAGGTTTGGTTGACATCTCATGTTCTCATTCACTTAATAGTGCAATTCAAGCACTTAGTAAAATCATTCCAACAAGGATATAACTTATTATTTCATGTGACTTTTTGATTCCAAACTTTAAAAAACTTTTCGAGTGCCCAATATAGATGGGTATTGATGTGAGACACATGAAGATATACCAATCACACCACCCAAGCATATATCTTGAAAAGGGGTCTATAGGCGAGCAAAGGTGCAATATCCAAGTTTAGGTTGGGGCTTGTTTCTATAGGTTTGACCTTGACATCTTCATCATCACTTAATATGCCATGTTTGAGCTCAAACCCATTACTTAACTAGTGGCAAACACCTGGGGTGTTACACTAGTGGAGCTGTTGGTGGGGATGATGTCGATTGGGACACCATCTAGGAGGATGAGGAGTGAGTGTTGGTCTTTCTTCTTTTCTGCTCTTTTTGGTGCTTTATGCCAAAAGGGGAGAAAATTAGAGGGGTCAACAACTTTTTTGATGCCATGGAGAGGAGGTTGTTGCAGCTAGAGTCATGTTCATATCCGTTTAGAGTAGTCTTCATTAGGTGAGAGTTTAAGAGTCCATTAGAAACTCTATTTATGTAATAATGCTACTTAAGTACTTTTTATATGTGTGGGATATGGACATATATTAATCTATGCAGTCGCTTTGTGATACAATTGTGCCAGAGTGTATATCTTTATATGTATCACATGCTGTGTGGTGTCTGTTCTGATCTGTGTTGTTACAGCAAGTGTGGCAGTGCCGCACTCTGGTGCGGTAGTGCCGCAAACCATGTTGTGCATAAACTATCATTTGCATCATGTTTTACATACCTGACACAGTATGCAGCACCCCACAGGAGCGGGATATAGGGGGAGCCCCATCACTTTCACTAAAATGTGAATCTTGGCTTCTTATACCAATTTGAGAATTCAATTCTCTATTCACATAGTTAGGGGGAGGCTCTACACCCATGGCTCGAAAATCTCAGTATTTATTTCATAATTTTTGTAAGCTCTAATTGGGTTGTCATGGATCACCAAAAAGGGGGAGATTGGAAGTGCAATCAAGCCCTAATTGTGGGTTTTGGTGATAATGACCACGCAATTAGAGAACTAATGAGATTTATCGAGATAACAAGCAGGGAATTCATGTTCGAGGATGCTACACAAAATGGAGGAGCCCCCAATTACAAATGTAGATGGCTTCAAACTCAAAGGAGGTTTAAATTCTTTTATATTTTGAATTTGAGTATAGGAAAAGTCGTACTATAAAGGGGGACACAATGCTTAAGCTAATATGTGCTACCAAGTGCTTAAACATACATATGCATCCTCAGATTCACAGCCAAGACAGTCTATACTTCACTCTTACCTTTGATGTCTTGCGTGGTATGGCACTGTCGCACTTGAAGAGAGGCACTGCCGTAGTGAGGTACTGCCGCACTTGAGCTGCGGCACTACCATGACTTAAGTGACCATTGGGGGCTAGGGGGTATTTATACCCTTCCCCTTCCTTCACAACGGTACTCTATCTCTTCTTTCACACTTCAGCACGCCCAAACCAGAGCAGGAGCTCTCTCTCTCCCTACATTGTTGACCTCAAGCCCCCCAAGCAAATCCATTGATTTCCCCATCAATCCTTGAGGGAAAAGGGTCTAAAACTCGATTAGAGAGCAGCTCCATTGATTCCCCAACTCTAAAGAGCACTTGGTTCACGTTTTAGAGAGCAGCTCCTAGCCGGCTAGAGTGTCGCCCGTGGAGCTTGCCAACTTGTGTGGCAGCCCCGGGAGGTTTGTAACCATCTCTTGAAGCTAGTAAACTCACCCCTCATCTCAAGAGTTAAGTCTTTTGACTTGAGAACCAGGAAGGGTTGGAAATCCCTAAGCCTTAGTGGCTAACCTCAACAATGTGGAGGTAGGCAAGCCTTGGTGGCGAGCCGAACCACGAGATAAATTATTGTGTCACTTGTGTTTGATTTACATTACTTGCATGACATATTGTGGTTGAGGTGCTTTCTAGGGTTTCTAGTCGATCTACTTGTATGTGGTGTTCCTACTACTTTTAGCTCTTGATCTGTGATTGTCATACCTGCAGTAAGCTAGGAAATTTCTCCAATCTAAGTTTTCGTTCATAGATTTTGAACTGTGACTCGAAGTTGTCTACAGATGCGGCAGTGCCGCTGTTCTGGCCTGGCAGTGTCGCCCTCCAGAGAGGCAGTGCCACAGGGTGAATTTGATAAAAGTTTGAGTGTTTATTTTGACATGCCTATTCACCCCCCTATAGGCCAACCAGAGATCCTACAGTTGCCGACGGTGATGTAGAGCTGCATAGTGTCTTCCGTGCAGATGCTCGTGATGGTGTGAAGGGAGATCATAGGGGTCTCAGGGTCGAACGACGCAGCTGCTACCGCCGCTTCTTCCTCCGATTCTTCCGGCTCCTTGACGATGTAGTCCGAGACCTCGAGGTAGAAGAGGTGGGAGCACTTGTGGCCGTGGACGTACGGCTCGTTGCAATTGTAGCACAGGCCTTGCTTGCGGTGCTCCACCATTTCATTCGGCGTGAGCCGCTTGAAGGGGAGCAGGGGAGGCGCCGACGATGATGACTGCTGTGACCCAGAGCCATCGAACGTGGATGATGATGAGGCCGGCGCACCGAGGGCCCGACGAGGCGGCCGGGACGGTGGAGCAGGGAGGGCGAGAGTGGCGTCGTAGTGCAGCGTCGTAGGCGCGCGTGAGGCGCATGGTGCGTTGCAGGTCCTGCGGATCGTGAAGCTCCACGTCGATCCGAATGTTGTTCGGCAGCCCCCGGGTGAACAGCTGCGCCTGCTGGTACAGGGAGAGATGGCCCGCTTGTGCCATCCGGGCCTAGAACGCCTCTAGGTACGACTCGACAGAAGAGGTGAAGGGCAACCGCACCAAGTCCGCCAGGTGGTTGGTGCTGATCGGCATCCCGAAGCGCTGGTGATAGAGGCGCTTGAACTCTTCCCAATCCAGAATGCCGGCCTCCCGCTCGAGGACGATGTACCACTGCTGGGCCGTGCCGGTGAAGTGGTAGGACGCGAGCCAGACCCTGTCGGCGTGGCGCGTCTGCTGAGTGCGGAAGAACTGTTCGCATTTGTTCAACCAACCTAGCGGGTCCTCCTTGCCATCATAGGTGGGGAAGGAGAGCTTGTGGTAGCGTGGCATGACCGCGGCTTTCGGTTTTGGCAGAATGTGGGCAGAGGCGGCGGCATGTGCATGGCGGCGGATTGTGGAGGGTGGAACGCCTGCACGATGGCCGAGAAGGACGGCACGGGTGATGGCGAGTGGGGAAAGCTGATCTGGTGATGGGCACGCCCATAGTCGACCGCGGCGGTTGGGTGGACACAGCCAAGGAGATGTGCACCCGATGGGTTGGACGCCAGCAGGGAGGGCAGCATAGGCGGCGCGGAGAACAGCTCCGAGGTTACCGGACCCGAAGCCGGAAGCGCGGGAATGCCACCATGCCCTGGCATGCCGAACTGTAGGAGTGGCGGCGTGGAGGAAGAGGGCGACTCTCGACAGCTGCCATGCGCATGGAGATGTCCCCCATCTGGCGCTGCAGGCCGTAGATGGCCGCGGTGAGCGCGTTGAGGGCATCGGTGGGAACCGCGGTGAGCGTGGGCTACGGAGCAGAAAGCGGCGCGGTGGTGACGATGGCGGCGCTAGTGACCGCGGGAGCGGAAGAGAGCACGGGAGGCGCGGCGGAGGTGGTGGCGGCGGCGGAAGATCCAGAACCGGACATGGCTGATACCAGATTGTTGGAACGTGGGTTGCTGCATTGGGAATAGGAGTGCAAGGTGGAAGGCCTAGGCTTGAACGGCCGGCGGCGAACTGGCGGCGCCGTGCTCGGCGCCGAGGGCTTAGGGCTGGAGCGAGGGAACGAGAGCGCTAGAGCGCCAGGAGCAAGAGAGATTAACTCTAAATCTTTGGCTATTCTTTCATTAACAAAAGTGTTTCCTACTTATAACAAATGCCTAACAAACTGTTCCTGAATCAAAGGGATAAAATCACATGAAACAAACTCCTCAGGAATTAGATCCTGATAACTGCGGCGACACCGCAGAGCTGGTGACAGCGCACTGGCGTCGCGCGCCCGTCTTGGTCCACCGCTCAGCCACTGGACTTGTTGCGGCGCTTGTAAACTTTACCGACCATAACAGAGACCCTAAAACCAGATCCACCTGACAGCGCATGCTTCCGAAGAAAATGAAAAAACTGAGGCACGTGTACACCTGGATTTCAACAACAGCATTGGAATCCCATCCATTCAAAACCAAAAGTTTTCAGCTTGTAACTCGTGAGCAACCTAAGGATGACATCTCAGGATGGACACTATAAATACATGGCTCGGTCTCTCATCTTATATGTACAATAATACTCCTACAGTCCTCTAAGCCTTGTTCATTCGTCTCTGTACCACAGATGTCTCTTCCACTCCGTCATCTGCCAGCTCTGCTTCATCTCATGCTCATCTCCCGGGCTACTGCAGATGGAAACTTCACGTGTCAAAAGCAGTATATTAAACCAACTCTGATACAAGAGGGACCGAAGCAGCAATACTACAAAGTTGTAAAAATCGTTAAGAAAGTAAGCAGCCCAAACAAGTTTGCTACTCTCCCTCTTCTGTCCTTTCCACCTAACTTTCACCAAGTTTATAGAAAAATACACCAACATCTAAGATATCAAATTAGTTTTATTATATTCTCAATGAAACATGTCTTGCTAGTGCATTTTGGACTTGTAAAAAATATATTTTTCTAAAACTTGGTCAAATTAGCTGACTTAGGACAAAGCTTAAGTGACCTAATTTGGAGGCAGTATGTTACTAGGATTCTGCATAAATATATAAGTGAACCATACAATATCAAAGGAAAATTATGTTTCTAACAAAGATTTTTTCAGCTGGAGCATGTGAATATGGTGCATTTGGAGCAACACTTAACAAAGGCGATGTTTCTGCATCAGCAAATCTATACAGGAATGGGGTAGACTGTGGTGTTTGCTACCAGGTAATGTCATTCTGCAAGTAGCAGTGGTGTAAAACTATGGAACTTAACTTTCTGTTTACACTAAACTTGTTAGCGATTACCAACAGGTCAGCTGCACAAATCCTTACTACTGCTCCCAAAATGGCGTGACAATTGTGATCACAGACTCTGAGGCAAGCGATGGGACTGACTACATCCTCAGTCAGCATGCCTTCGCTGGGATGGGGCAGAACCAGAATGCTGGTTCAACCCTGATGAAACTTGGTTATGTAAGAATTGAGTACAGGAGGTCTGTGCATAATAAACTTGTCTAAAACTCTTGAGCAGTATGACTATTTTTTTTTTCTTCACAAGGCAAAGAAACTGAAAATTACAACATAATGATCTAGCATGATGAACTTATGACACAGATAACATATTGAAATTTTCATGGTTTCACTCCACTACAGGGTTTCTTGTCTACCCAGGAAAGAATATTGTGTTCAAGATTACTCAGAGCAGCCATTTCCCCTACTATCTTGAATTTGAGATCTGGTACCAACAAGGAAACCAGGACATCATTGCAGTCCAGCTTTGCGAGGTAAACACTAAACATTGCAGATCATGAAGAGATAAGGCATGACAAGTTATGATTATTCATGACTTGTATGAATTAGATCAATTGTCCAGAAATATTTACATATTCCCTCCATCCAGAAATACAAAGGATTTTGCGCTGTCCACAGTTTGACCAAATTTATAGAAACAAGCAATAATATTTTCGACACCAAAATAGCATCATTTGATAATTTATGAAATATATTTTTGTAATTTACCTCTTTGTTATGATAGATGTTAATACTCTTCTCTATATATTTTTGTCAAACTTAGGACAACTCAAAATCCCTTGTATTCATGACAGAGGCAGTATGTGGGAACTTAAGTTGAAGTTGTTAGTTCTAAATACCTGTTGATGGCTGAATGCAGACTGTGAACCGCACATGCCAGCTTCTAGCCGAACTCATGGTGCTGTATGGGCTGCAGTACAATTGATAAGCTCTCTTACCACTTCAACTCCTTTGAAAAAAGGGGTTAGTCTTATTTGCCAGGAGTGGACCAAATATCTAAAATGTACAAAAAAAAAATGCCATTTGATGCAGAGAAAGCACAGGCTCATCAAAATTGAATATAATTAGCACCACAATTACATCAACATGGCCAAGATAAATACTGTACACAGACTTCAACTGATGCCCAACTAAATTTACAAAGACTGGACCCATTCAGTTGTCCGCTGGCGAATACAAGTTCTCGATGATGAGGACTTCCTGACAATCATGTCAGCCCTGAAGTTTTATCAAAGAAACAAATCAATTGTCAGTAAAACTTTCACATAATTGTAGTCAAAATTAATGAGCTTAGAAACAAGGCTTTCTATTTCATTTCACATTTGAGAAAAATTAGCGGAAAAGCCTAAATAACCAAAGTTTCAATCTTGTGGACAAACAGAACCTGAGTTCAAGTTAACTGAAAATAAAAGGATAAGCAAAACATTAAGAAGGGAAGCACCATCTGTTTAGGAAATCTGATTAGAAGTGAAAGATATCAATTTGACCTTGTATTGGTAGCTAGTCCAGTAAACATATTAAAGGACATTCATCTGATGCCAAACAGCTGACAGCAGTGAAATGGATCGACAGTTAAACAGTAAGCAAAAAACTCCATAATGTTTTTGTATCATCTCTACTATCTCACCTCGCCCCCCACAACCACCCCCACCCCCCACCCCTTGAGTTTTTTCATGTTTAGCGATTGACAATAAAATCAGCTCTCCTGAGTAAACTAACATACATCACTAACTACTTACCAATGTTGCCAGTATGATCTGAACTGTAGACTGCAAATGTGCACCATCAAAGCCCCATCAGGCCTGCCATTACACATGTGAAGTTCAATAAAACAGTAAAGAATGATGAGATGTTGGAAATATTGAAACATTAGTATATACCATTTGTTGTCTGTGCAGCCACTCCTACTGGTGTTGAATGATCAGGGTGTTGGCTGCCTACAAAAGAAATTGGTTGATTACTTGAAGCAACAGTGTGATTTCCCATATCAGGATAGCCTGTCTGTAGAATATCATCCAGATGTTTCAGAAGAGCATTTGACTGACTTTCGATGTATGACATCACATCCTCAGATTTGGCAGCTCTTGAAGCAATCAAGCTAGCCAACCGGCACATGTTACTGAATCGGGCTTCTGAGGTTGATCGCATAACACCGCCAGATCCATAGGCAGGTTCCTCCCCCGTTTGAACAGAACGAGCATCTTTCCTCCATCTCTTCAAAATATATTGTTCTGGAAGTTCTTTGATATTCTTGAGATCCAGCACCTTCAGTACATGACAGCATTGAATCCCTACAGCTTCAAACTTCTTGCAGCTGCAAGTGGCCGAGCCATCTAGTGCATCAAATTTGACGAAGCTCTCTGATGGCTTCTCATCAAGCACAATCTTGTACTCCGAGATTGTGCCAACCACACCACAGGGGAAGGACATGCAATTCATGTAAGCCTCAAACTCTCCCTGGAACATCTTGAAAGCTTCAGGTGTATAAGCATTTGATGATTGTTTTAGCATTCGCAACGACGGGATAGGCAGAGTAACCTGGCTGCCATCAACATCAGCATGCAATTTCTTTGATCGATGCTCTTCCAGAATAGACTCATAACGCCTGAAGAACTGCAGGATATCTTCTTGCTCACTGAGCTCTCGTTTCAGTTCATTGATCATGTTATCCTTACGAAGAGTTGAGAGTATATCAGCAGAAAAAATGGTTCTCTGATAAGGTAAAGCCCATTTTTCTTTCACCAGGAAAAGTCTGCTGAGCCACTCACTCTCACTAATGTCATGTTTCTCAATTAGCTTTTCCCATGCTGACAAGAACTCAATCTCATCCTCACAGTCAAAGAGGCAATGGCTCAAAGCATTGCTGAAACTCTTTGAGCTTTCAAACACCTGCTTCAGGTGCCTCTTTGAATTATGGTAGATATGCCACACCCCTGTGCAGTGGTTGCTTCCAGGCCACACCTCTGCTGCTGCAATGGTACACTCAGGACGCTCATCAATCAAAATAGTTTGTGGGTGCCTAGCATGCATGGCATCAGCAAACACCTCAAATACCCATTTCAGTGACTGAACGCTCTCATCATAGAGCAGTGCTGCACCAAACACAAGTAACTGCTTATGGTTGTCAACACCAACAAACAGTGCAAATGGCCGTCCATAAATGTTCAATCCATATGTTGCATCAAAGCAAACAACATCCCCAAAACTCCTGTAGTCAATTATTGATTTTGCATCAGCCCAGAAGAAATTTACAGCGGATTTCCCATCAGGCCCTACTCCTACTGCATAATACACTGAAGGATTCTCTACCTGCAACTCCTCCAAGTATTGCAATGCTGCGCCAGCATCCCCAAGCTGCACACCCTTCCCTTGTTTCCTTCGATGCATTTCCCCTGCCCCAAGCTCATGTGCACGAGCTCTCATTTTATGAGACCGCAGCTTATGCACGCTCTCTGGATTGGCGAGAGGATGGTTATGCTCTGGAAAAAACTTTGCTACACGGTATGTCCGGCAGGGGGTGATCTTGATCACCATTCTCGCCTGGCATCCGGTCCGTGTTGGTGGCGGACCCGGCCTAGGTGTGCCTGCTGACCCTGCACCACCATTTGCACTGACTGTGGCTCCACCCTCTTGCTTGGTGCGGTCACTGACACCCTCGCGGGAACAAACAAAAATCCGAGACACTATCATCCCTCGCTTCCGCTTCTTGTAGGAGCGGCGGACACTGAAGCCTACGTGCTCAGCGTACCTGTTGTAGAAGACATACGCATCCTCCTCTGTCTCAAAATGCATATCAGGCCGCGGCCCATCCCTTGGGTCCGGCAAGCTGGCCGCCGCGGCAATGCTGTGGTGTGACGAGCTTGGCGGCAGCAAGGCCAGTGACACAGCGGGCGCGGAAGAGGCGAGGGGGTGGTTGTGATCAGCGACGAAGTCCGTAACGAGGAAGGCGTTTGCGGAAGGAATGAGCTTGATGGTGAGCGACGCTAGGCAGCCTGTGCGCGAGTCCGGGCACCGAGGCGCCGGCGCCAGCGAGGACGAGGACGCGACGCCGGAGCCTGCGGTCTCGTCCTGGGGCTTCTTGGGCTCCTGGCGGAAGCCCTGCTTGGAGCAGACGAAGAGGCGGCGGGTGACGGTGTGCCGTGAGTTCTTGGACTTGTTGGACTTGCGGACGACGAAGCCGAGACGGGCCGCGTAGGCCTTGTAGAACTCGTACGCGTCGTCCTCGGTCTCGAAGTACATCCCCACGCGCGGGGAGGTGGGGGCATCGGCGTCGGTGTCATCGCCGAGGGCGGAGGTCGATCCTGTCTGGGCCAGGTTGGTGGTGGCGGCATCGGCGGCACCAGAGGAGGAGAGGGAGGAGGAGCCGGAGGAGGTGGGGGACAACGGCGAGGACTCGCCGGAGAGGCGCGAAGGGTCCACGGCGGCGGACATTAGGGTTTGCGCCAGGGTTTGGAGGAAGGAGGAGGGAGAAGGGGACCTAGGGGTTGGATGGATCGCCTGCGGAGGAGGCAGGTGTGGGTCAACGTGTGTGGTTGAGCCTCCCACGGCTGGGAGCGAGTTGTTCTGCGACGTGGTCATGCGCCTCATGACTGAGTCGCTTCCCAGTCCAACCATTTCTGATGAGCTCTCCCTTATCTCTTTATAAGAGAAGAAGGGAGGAAGATATTTAATAGCGAACTTTTAGTGTGAAATATACGTTATGTTCGTTTGGTTTATAAGTCGTACTTTTTCAGTTAATGAATAGTATTTTTCTCTCACAACAAATCAGCCAACAGTACTTTCAGCCATGGCTTATCAGCTAAGCGAATAGGACAATAATTATACATAGACTCTGCTAGCAGGTGCACGTGGACACATCCCACCTGCATGTTTTCTCTCTTCTTCTTCACGCGTTATCTTCGATTCTTCTTCTTCCTCACGCTCCCGTGGTTTGCCCACCTTGCCTGGCTCTGGCAGAGTGGACGTCACCTCCGCCGCCGCCCTTAACCACGGTCACCCCTAACCTGAGCTTCTCCTCCAGATCCGGCGCGAGCGCCCCCGCCTCCTCCACCTCCCGGCCTTCGGCGGCACGTGCCGCCGCCTCCATCACCGCTATTCATCGCCACCACGCGAATCCCAAGCTTCTCCTCTTCTTCTCCTATGGACGGCTCTGTTGCCGACACTTCCCAACTGGCCTCAATTTGAATGCATATCGTCAGCCATGTATCAATTTGATTTAATGTTAACCATCCATGAACTAAATGCTCAACACCACAAATTAGAAAAGAATCGAACTCAAATTTAAATTGGATTAAATAATCAAGCTATGACTGAATTGCAGACTAACTAATTTTCATTAATAGTTTACGTGTTAAGACCACAAAGTTGTGTATAGGTGCTTTTTTTTCTGACCATAAAGAAGCAAGAACTTAACTGCATTGATTGCATACGACGAACACTACACAAATACCAACTCTCTTTCATGCAGAAAAAGAGTATCCACAAATCTGTCACAGGCTCCAATTAGTTGCTTGCATACCTAGCCTTTTTCTTTGCTGCTAGATCTCCCTTCATTTTTGCAAGCTCACACTACAATACTACATTAGTTGAGGGAGGCTCTTCGTTTCTATCTCCCACCTTCTTCTTTATTATGTTTGACAGTTGACACTTTTTGCTATCATCTAGCTCTAGAACTATGATCCACATGGCTCTAAGCTACTTAGGCGTTCATCAGCACCTCTTTATTGTCTCCTCTCCCTCTCATTGCTAGTTGCCTTACAAGGGCTACGTCTATGGTTTTTCCTTCATGGTCTCATTCTCTTAAGCTACTTGTTTTTTTATGGCTATATAATCTAATATAAACTGTAATATTTTATCATCCTTGTTACATTTTATTTAACAACATAGCCATTTGGATTGAATTGGATTTTCAGATAATAGACCCAATGATATACAAAACTGGTTGTTGTTAGGACACAACATAACTAACAGATAGCATTTTTTCACAAGAAAAGCAAATGTCGATACACATTTGATCTATACAAGCCAATCCTTAGAACCAAAGAAAATCTGGAAATCAGGGAAAAAAGAAAAAAAAACAGTTTGGTTAGCAGGCAAGCCAAAAAAAATTGGATGGCCAAAATACGGCAGCTGTTTTGTTTGCCTGAGTTGCCTAGCGCTCCTATAGAAAAATTTGGCTGACCACTTGATAAGATTATAGCGAATTAGTTTTTTGTTAACTTAGATTCCTTTGAATGCATTCCTTATGCCATAAAGTAATATATGTGGGAATTCTTTTTAGCAATTGTAATAACCATATATAGAGTATGCTAGATGATTCTGACCATACGAAGGGACAAATTTTGAGATACATCCACCCTGAGTTACCGACGTTCCATTTCCATGCCAAGCTGAATACATTTCCAACAAATTTTCATCTTGACAATGAATGACCAATGTTATTAACCTTAAAAGTTACATAGGGCTGTGTTCCCCCAATTGCATACCTCTAATAAGGTTCTGAAACACAGCTAAAGAAAAGAAAACCAGAGAATCACTGTACAAGTTCTTGATACATGATCCTCAAACTTTGGATGACTTCCTCCTTTTAATATAAGCTGCTTCAAGACCCAAATTGCAATATCCTCCTTTGATAACTCCCAGCTCTGCCAGTGGATTCAAATTATGTCCAAATTTGCATAATGATGAGGCTGCAAATTGAAAACATGCAAAAGCTCAAACAACATGGCAGAGTCCAGGGATACAACAAAAAGTTGATCAATCGTGTAGAATCCACTATGCATGCACATAAAGTACAGCCAACTGCACTGTACCCAGCATGCCTTTGTCATGCCAAAATCTGCGCTAACATGGGAGCTCCTATGGGAGAGCCAGCTCAGTGCCCCTGCTTCTCTCCACAAGCCCAGCCCAGAAACACTGCCTTCGTACTATGCTTCAATCTGCGTGGCAGTTGGCAACTAACGTGAATTGATCAACAGAACCAACCGGGACACAAGTCAATTGATCTTTTTATCAGAGCATAGTCAACAAAGAGAGGAGGTGATAAACAGGCACAGCAAGGCACACTTGCCTGACACTATAAGTCATCAAATGGGTGTCCTCACCCAAATTGAAACTGAGAGGGATCAAATTGCTCGCTATCCCTACCTACTTAATTGCTAACTTCTACTCTCAGTTTTGGAGTTCATGATCATCCGTGGGGGGCTATGGCATTCTCCACTTCCATGTTTTTCAAAAACTTTGCTAATGCCGCTTCAGAAGACCCGCCTTCGTGGATGGCATCCAAGGCCCTCTCCTTGACGATTGCGAGCCTCTCCCTCAGCATCTTCCCTTGGTCGGTGTCCATCACAAGCCTCACCTTGGCTTCCACCTCCACTGCCTTGACGAACTCCTCGTATCCCTCCACATCGACTGCGATCTTCATCTCCTCCACCATGAACACCTTATTCATGCACTGCTCGGCGTACATCGGCCAGCAGATCATCGGCAATCCAGACATGATTGCCTCCAGCGTGGAGTTCCACCCGCAGTGCGTCACGAACGCGGCGACGGCCTCATGTTGCACCACCTCTGACTGTGGCGCCCAGTTCTTCACCACCATGCCCCTGTTCCTCGTCCTCTCCAAGAACCCCACCAGAAGCAGCCGCTCCAAGTCCGGCTCAGGGAACTGGATCTGTTCCTCCGGCAGGCTCCGCACTACCCACAGGCCACAGGAACCGGTGGCCGGAGGTCTCTAGCCCATGGGCCATCTCCTGCAGCTGTGCGGCCGAGAAGGTGCCCAAGCTACCGAAGCAGAGGAACACGACGCTCCGCCTGGGCTGCGCGTCCAGCCACGCCAGGCACTCGTGCCTGTCACCGCCCCTCCTTGCGGCCTTGTGGCCGTCATTGACCAGTGGCCCGATGCAGTAGACTCTCGGCGTCGGCCGGCCGGGTACACAGACGCCGTCTTCGAGCGCTCTCAGGGCTCAGGGCTCCAGCCAATCGAAGCTGTTGACCAGCACGCCCCTCCCCTCCGCCATGCGCTTGAACTGGTAGAGCCGGACCTTGGTCGCGTCGCTCTCCTTGTCGTGGATCGACTGCAACATGTCCACGGCGCGGATCGGCGGCATGCCCAGGAAGCAGCGCACGAGCGTAGTCTTGCCCATCTCCCGGAACGACGGCACGGTGGGGTAGTAGTAGGGAAGGTTGAGGAACACAGCGAGGTCGCTGGCCCCGGAGGGGAATAAGAAGTAGGCGGGGACGCTAAGCTCGGCCGCGACGTCGCTGGGAGCATCTATGTCCATGGATGATCAGTTGTCGCTGGTGGATCAATCTGTGAGGAGAATTGAGTGTGTTAATAGTATTTTCTTTGTGAAGTGTAATATAATGTTTGGTAATGCAAATCGGTAAGGAATATGCCGGAGTCTTAGTAGCGGGCTAGCGGCACATGCATTCGGGTTTGTTTGGTGCAGGATGGTGATGCATCTCTCTCAAAGATTTTATGGAACAACATCACTAAAAGTATCTTCTGGTGCTGCCATCACTATGTATAACTGAACTATCGTTGTGATTTGGAAGACTGTTAAAAACAAATAACAGAAGCAGAAATTGTATAAGCATATATCACATTATGTTATGGAATAATTAAGCTGAGGTTCTAAAATCTCAATGCCCTTCTATAATCTGTAAGGTTGCAAAAATTTCTATGAAGCCATGGTACATGGTAAAATCGTTTGGCCACCCAAAAGAAAACAAGAAATTACAATAATGAGGGAGTGGCGATCGAAATATATGTTGAGTCTAACTGTATAACCTAAAAAATCAAGAAACCCTGATTATTCAAAATTCATTGCACTGACATTTATATTTATTAATTGCTTTCGTAAGATTAATAGCAGTCATGATTGGAAACAGAGCACACAAATAGTCTGTAGATATACAGCAAGGTTCAGCGATGACAAATCATAGTGTCTATACCTGACAACGAACAAATACATAGCGTGCCTTTTAGCGATCATGGATGATAGTGTTTATACCAGTGAACGAATAAATACATGCTGTGCCTTTTAGTATACCTGACCCAAAAATTGTTCACAAAGGTAGATGGGAAAAGGAAACAACAAATACCTGCTGATGATATGTAGCAGCTGTCTCAAGAAACTGTCCATATACATGGCGTGCTCTTTTAGTATAGGGCTTGAGAGTAGCTCTAATTTTGTTGATGAACCTGCCAAAGAAAAATATTCAGTATAATATGCATTGCAATAATCTTGGAAAAAAGGGGCAAGATTAGCATGAAACAAAGAAGACTTAGTTATTACATGGTAGGTTTTAACAAAAAGGGACTTTGCTATTCTATTCAGCTTCCCCACAAATAGAGCATTTCAGCTGAAAAGTTGAGCTCCATGAAATTGCGTAGTCTAACTGGTTCTTTGAAACCTAGGTATGTATGCACAACCAAAAAACACAGGCATATAGCGGTTTGAAAGTTCTCACTGAACAAAAAGTTCCCTGCTAGCAACTACTACATGGCGAAGAATGGGAGTATGCTACGGTTTAGCAAAAAGGGACTTTGGTATTCTATTCAACTTCCCCACAAATAGAGCAGTTCAGCTGAAAAGTTGAGTTCCATCAAATTGTGTAGTCTAACTGTTCAGCTGAAAAGTTAGTTCCATCGAATTGTGTAGTCTAACTGGGTCTTTGAAATCTAGGTATGTATACACGACCGTAAAAACACAGGCATACAACAAGTTTGCAGAGTCGCAGGAAGTACGTAGAGGCAGCAACGGGCTGCTAGGCTGCGGAAAGAAGATATAGTGAACTCAGATAGATTAGTCTGAATATATAGAGAAGCAGATAGCCTCCACAGATATCTCTGAGACCATTTGGACATTAGGCTTTGCATTTTTCTTGAAGGTAATCCATTTTTCTTTAGCGACAGGCATCCATTTGTTCAAGAAGGGAAATGCCATTTTAAGTGGGAAATCCATTTAGTTCATAGGGTATACATGTCAAATGGATAGATAAAGTATCAGTGTAATCTAGAATTTTGGTCCATAAATAAAAAGAACTACAAAGAAGAACTTGAATTGGGAAAGACTATAGGCGTAGGCATACATTCTATTATCTATGAGTAGAAAAGAAATTTCTTGTAACAAAAAGCTACAATATGCCTATGAAGAAGTATTTGAACATGCAGGTTCTTAAAGCTGGAGTACCAAGACTGAAGCCATAAATAAACAGAGGCCACGCAGAAGGCCGGTTAATCTTACTTAAAGAGCACCGCGACAACAAAACGGTGGCTGATAACAGAAGCAGTATAAAAGCGTTCACACCGGTAATCCTTGCTAAAGGAACCAAGACCAACCAAAGGGGAAAATTCACAATATCAGGAACCCTAGGCACTGGCGATTTTTTTTAAAAGGTAGGAAGGCTTTAGTCCTTTTTAGCAAACAAAAGATCTCTCGAACCATCTCATTTTGCTAAACGGCAACGAAATAATAAAACATATGAATGTTCTCATACTTTTTTTACCTAGCATCCTCGAGTCTTTTCATTGAAATTAATTTATCTCTTTAGCACAAGCAAAATGAAGGTACGCAGAGAACAAAACGAAAAATCACCCAGAGAAAAAAAGATGAAAGATTATATGTAGAGGATGCAATAATTGGCACTTTGGCAACATCTTTTCAATTAGTGTACAATTATATATGGACACATTGAGCTAATTAAGTAAAATGAGAGGGAACATGTAGACATAATCAATGGAGAGCACACACCTTCCATTTCTGGAATTTCACTTTGTTGTAGCAAAATCCTCCACCAGACCACCAGCACCCTATTTTCAGAAACTGGAACCCAACCTTGGTTTAGCCCCAAATTAGAAAAAGGTAGTGATACAGCCATTAATAGAAGGACAGCAGTAATTGTTTAACCTGCATATATATACTTGGAAATAGAAAAAAGATGCTACTTCCTGTTACTCAATGTAGATGGAACCAATAATCATCGTTGTGTTCTAAATCAAGTCAATCTGAAGCTTCTAATTAGATCAATTCCTGTGGTATGACAATAAAACTAACTACCTCATAAAGATGACATGACTGAATGGGACGTGCCTGAAATATTATCTTTAAAGGTTGGCATCTCCATGGAAACATTGAATGTCCTTGGTCTCTCTGTAAAGGTCAATAAAGATCAATACTGCATAAATAAATGGAGCTCACTATTACATCTATGTGATGTAAAATTTGGAAGAACTAACTGCACATACACAGCAATGTTTTGGGAAATAAAGATAAGAGCTCAGAGGAAATTTTAAATTAATTAACATCAGCTATCCCTACTCTTGTATTTTAGGACGTCAAACACATACTTTGATGAAATCATTTCTTTAAAAAAGGTAGGTCCACTGCAATGTGGCCACAGGCAGTATATATAGACAACCAAAAGTGTGGAACATCACTAAAGCCTGGAACACTGCAACATCACTAATTAAAGAAGCTGCACGCAATATATATAACCAAAAGCCTGGAATTCTGCTAGTTAAAGAAATCATCTCAAATATCCTAGCATTAGTCTTGTTCCAACCTGCAGTAGATGGACACTAATTTGCAAGAGACAGATGGCAGCTCGGTCATGGAAAGTAAGAGAATAAATGGCAGTTGAACTATGAACAGCAAAGTTTAATTAATATGATAGTACGTTTGATGGCCATGTTCAATTGCTCTGTTTGAATTCCCACAAAGCAGTAGTGGGACAATCTCGTCTACACTCATCTAAAATAACCTGCCTAATCCATATATTCAGCTTAAGAGGCCAAAAAAAATATAGGCCCCTGCATTTTTTTTAGAATACTGCCCAAAGAACCGATCAAAGTTTGTAAGGACTATAGTGTAGCATGAAATGAGGCGTTTAACGCCACCAAGCATCCATGTTTAATGCTCTCACCTATATCCGGAAGAACTGAAGCTTCCATTGGTGTCACTGGTGTCGACATACAACATTATTTCACGTGCTGTAATACGAAACCTCCGGAGCCATAGCTATTGCAGTCGAGTGCTCTGTGGGGAAACAAAAGAAAATTACAGTAAGAACACAAAATCATCTTAGTGCAGATCACAAAATCATGAAAACTGTAGTGACATTTCTCCCTGTGTGAGGATGCAGCTGTAGTTACCTTCAAATAGCTTTTAGGACCTGATGCCGCTGTTTTACAAAGGAAGCAAGGTTCAATGCGAAATCATTAAGAACTATATTATGAAAAGAGTGCTACTATTCTGAGACAACATCGTACCTTTTTATGGAGAAGGAGGATGCAAGAACATGGTAACAGTAGTGTTTACACACCAGCCTGCAACAGATGAAGCAGAGGATAAAGAATTCATGGTACCCTTTTCCAATCTTCCTGATTCTCATCCCTGATCCCCTAATTCTAGCAACTGAAAAGACAAATAATAGCTTTATTCTGAACCCTAATCCCTTAATCCTAGCAACTGAAAAGGCATTAATGATAGCCTCTTCCATAGCAACATGTCATATCAAAGAAACAACAACCATAGAACCAGCTCATCATTCAGTCGATCGATTCTAGCAGGCAATCGGACCAATCAATCCCCAAAGTAATGACCCAGCGGCATCCCCATCTGCTGAGTGAGGGCAGGGGCAGTGGTGATTTTACCTCGCACTGACACGCATTGCTATGGTCTGAGAAAAGCCAACCTTTGAGGACAAGCAATACTGTAATCACCAAAGAGAAAAGGGGATAAAAGTGCTGCTGAATTCTGGATAAGCTGTGTGAATGGAAGCACAGGTCGAAGGTAACTCCTTGATAAACTAAGAAAGTGTCTACAGAAATGATTATGTACTATATATATGTTACTTAAAGGGTGTAAAGAAATGTCTAGATACTATATATATGTTACTTACTGACCTCTGCATGCACAATTCCTTTTATGCGGTATAGCTACAGTGATAAAAAAATTATGGCTTTTTCATTGCATATCTCATCCACGATATGCAGCAGAGAAAGGTAAAAAAATTAAAAGTGCCTCTCTTTTTCCGCTGCATATCTCAATGAAGATTTGAATCAGGAAAACTGTAACAGAATATCAAAGGTGTCAAACTAAAAGGATGAGATGGTAAAGTGAATAGGGAGATATCTTACCTTTGCCTACACATGGAGTGGAGTGAAGGCATGGGGACTGGCGCCGTTTAGATTGCAGGAGATGCTGCCCTCGCCTCCATCCCCAGGAACCGTGGCGAAGACATGACATGAGGACAGGCAACTAGGGTTTCGTCCACC